GAGATCGTCGTGCCAGAGCCGGCTGCCGCGGCGACGCGATAGCGCAGCGGCAGTTTTTGAGCCGGCCGTTCGATAATGTTTGGAGGAAGCGCGGGAGGAGCGTCACGTCTTGCCCTCTGCCTCTACCATTTGCGTCGCAGTCTTTGCGACTGCCGCGCCTCTGGATCACTCGGCCCGCGCTGCTCGAGCCCAACTGCTGCAGCAGGCTGAAGCGGAGTTTCGATTGATCAGGTTTCAGCGGCTTCCTCATCTTCTAGAAGAAGGAACAAAGGCGTAACCATGAACTGTTGGAGGTCCGCGCTGATTTCTTGGATCGGACCGGTCCCAGCGCAAATCCAAGCAAACCGCGCGCAGCTCCGAAAGTTGATGTTTGTGCAGGTTTGTTCTTTTTCGATCCTTGTGGCGGGGCGCCCTGTACAGTGAACGTGGCCCGTGAACGCGCAGCGACTTTTGCTCCGAGCGAGCAGGGTCGGCCGCTTCCCCGCCTCGGCCCGGCGCCGCGCGCCACTTCCAGCCAGAGACCTATCGAGGCGTGCGAGCCGTACGGCACCAGTGGACTTGTGGTTGGAAGAAAGTCCGCGCCGCGCCGAGGTTTGACGCTCGAGGCCTTCGGTCGCCTCCGTCGTTTCTCGGCAGTTTTCCGGCCTCGGGACCCCGTCCAGTGGCTGCGCCTCGCCGAGGGCGTTCTAGGGGTGCACGGATCGTCTCGAACCGCCGCGGGAGACTGGAGTCGTGACCCGAAAACCAGCACCAACACCGTCACCATCCTCATCGTCGCCATCGCCGATGCCGTCGTCACCTTCGTCGCCGTCGCCCGCTTGCTCGGGTCATGGATCTGCACGGGGAGGGTTCTTGCGAAAATGCGCCAGCTGAGCTTCGCCAGCAGGTTACGGGCTGGTGGGTGGGACGTTCGCTCGAGCATTGGAGTTGGCGACCTCAGGATGTTCAAAGTCAATTGCTTCCCAAATACCCTTTACTTGAAGCGAACACCAGGCTTGTCCCCACGCCTCCGTGTATTGCGTTTATGTCTCTATTGTCCACGATCGTCATTTCAACGTCAAAGACTACCATGCCAGCCGACGCGTTATCATTTCCCCCATCGTCCTTACTACATACGGTGGAGGCATTATACGTAGCACCCCGCAATTGCGGATAAGAGTGAGGGGGCGGGCGCAGGCGACGCGGGCGTCGAGCCGTTCAGTGAACGTTGTTTGGCTCGTTCAGTGAACGTTCAATGAACGTAGTTTGGGTCGCTGGTGGGTCGCGGGCTCTCCACCTCCACCTGGAAGGAATTCAAAAACAGCCCACCGCAGGCGCCGAAAATATTGATTTGTACACTGAACGCGGTTTGGGTCGCAGGTTCTCCACCTGGAACGAATGCAAAAGAAACCCGCCGCAGGCGCCGAAGTTTTGGCTTGATCAGTGAACGTAGTTTGGGTCGCGGGTGGGTCGCGGGCTCTCCACCTCCACCTGGAATGAATTCAAAAACAGCCCGCCGCAGGCGCCGAAAATTTTGAGTTGTACACTGAACGCGGTTTGGGTCGCGGGTGGGTCGCAGGTTCTCCACCTGGAACGAATGCACAAGAGACCCGCCGCAGGCGCCGAAAATTTTGGGTGGGTCGCGGGGTGGGTCGCGGGTGGGTCGCGGTGGGTCGCGGGTGGGTCGAGGGCGCGGTTTGGGTCGCGGGTGGGTCGCAGGTTCTCTGCCTGGAACGAATGCAAAAGAAACCCGCCGCAGGCGCCGAAAATGTTTGGTGGGTTGCAGGGTGGGTCGCGGGTGGGTCGCGGGTGGGTCGCGGGGCGGGTCGCGGGTGGGTCGCCGACAACAACAAACAACAAACAACAAACAACAAACAACAAGCAACAAACAACAACAACAACAACAACAACAACAACAGCAACAACAACAGCACCACCACCACCAACAACAACAACAAGAATCCGCATCGCGGAATTCCACTTCAGCCACGTACCCAGGGACAGTGAATGACCGTTCGGTTCAGCCCCCTCACTCTGATAAGGGAGCCTCGCTTCCAGGCGGGACCCTCGGACATTCTTTATATTGTACGGTTTGGAGGTCGCAGCTCAGGGTCCGGGAAACTTCCTTAAGTCATGATGGGCACAAGCCCTATTGTCCAGGGTCTCGACCATTCCTTAAGCAATCAAGGAATTTCGCCGATTCGAGCCGCCGCGTCCCGTAAGAACTGAATATTTATTTAAAACCTCCACCGTAGTACAATGCGGTGCACACGCGTTGGCGTAACAGGTGCGCGTGTTTGTTTGAACCTCCACGAAGCATCACAATATGGACCACATGCACGCGTCTCCACGCGCGCAGACCAACATCAGCCAGGCGCCAGTTGCTTGTTGCTCGTTGTTCCAATACGTCATACAGATTTGTGGGTGCACACGTATGTTCATATGTGCGCGTGCACCAACGATGAATAACCATAGTTTGCAACAAAGAAACCTCTGGTATTGTGCGCGCGCGCCCTCTCAACTCATCAGAAATCATAAGGGTTGGGCCGTTGTTCCAGAGGAGACCATGCGACCAACACTCAACGCGCATGTCGAACACATACAACACTGATCGTGCAACCGCCAACTCTGTCAAGTAAAATCATTCGGGCCACGCGCCTGCGTCTCCGCGCGCACGTTGAAATCCGTCCAAAACCATAGGTTGCCCACGCAGTTCAAGACAGATGGTTTTGAAGTCCACAACGTGCCAATGCACTTGAATCCATAACGTTTAATGTTTGGGCGCGTAAGTGCCCTTCATCAGCACCACCGTTGTCATCATCATCAGCATCATCAGTATCATGTATTGTTGTCGTTACCATTATCATCAACATCATCATCATCAGTATCAGCATCAGCATCATCATCATCTGCATCTTCATTGCCACCGTCACCACCAGACTGTTCATCACCATCACCATCGCCGTCGTCATTATCCCCGTCGTCGTCATCGCAACCATCATCGTCATCATCGTTGCCGTCGGCCCCAGCACCATCGTTATCACCATCGCCAGGGTAATCGTTGCCACCGTCGTGATCATCAGCTTCATCATCACCATCGTCGTCACCATCCCGTCGCCATCATCAAGGCATCATCATCGCCATCATTATCATGATTGTCATCATCGTCGTTGTCATCATCACCATCATCAGCAGCAGCATCATCAGCATCATCACCAGCATCATCAGCATCACCAGCATCATCGCCATCATCACTATCAAGAGCATCATCATCATCATCATCATCATCATCATCATCATCATCATCATCATGCCCCGGAGGGGTACCCCCGTGAGCGGGGTGTCGAGCCAAAACGCCCCCTGGTGCAGGCAGGCGGCGCTGGACCTTCGGGGCCCCAGCCCACCCACCCGGGCGTATCTTCCCGGGGGGCTCTCAGGTCCCGTGTCCTCCCCCCAGGGCGGTGCGGGATCTCACTCCCCGCACTCGCCGCCTTCAGGCGGGATCGGCGGTCCATCTTCTCCTCTGTCGTGCGTCGTCGTCCGTCGCTCGTCGTTGTGTCGTGTCGGTTCTCGGTCCCAGGGCCCAAACCCTTCTTCCCCGGTGCTTTGGGCGAGCGGGGGCCATGCCCGCCTTGCACCGGCGCCGCAGGCATTCTCACCTCGCGGAAAAGTCAGGGGCAACGGCAGGGGGGATAGGCATAGGGGGGGACGCATCGACCCCCCATCGCCCACTGATCGCCGATGGGAGTCCGATAGCCCCGACCTGCCCAGGAACGTGCGGCTTCACGGTGTGGGGCCTACCGCCGATCCACCGGCGATGCGTGGCCGATTACAGGTCGATGCACCCCCCAATGCCAGTCCCCCCTCCTTACGTTGCCGCTCAGAAGGGTGCAGAGCACGGCGGGGCCCTCTGGAATTTGCCCTCGGGGGCCCGAGTCCGTCGCGAAGCGAGCGGCGGGCTGGAAGCCATCGCGAAAGAGGGCGGGCCAGAGGCGCCGCCTCCAGCCTGGCGGTGTGGCATCCCCGCAGGAGCCTTGCCGCAAAATCATCTTCGTCACCATCTTCATCATCATAATCATCATCATCATCACCACCAAGATCACCATCAAGATCATCATCAGCATCACCATCACCATCACCATCACGACCATCACGATCACCATCATCATCGTCATCGTCATCATCGCCATCATCATCATATACATCATCAGAAGCAGCATCATCGTCATCACTCATCATTTGCGTCGTTGTCGCCGCCCTCATCGTCGGCGCCGACATCAGCATTGGCATCATCAGCACTGGCCCGCCCGAGCCACGGGTTAGCATCATGAGTGCCCTTGTCTTACTACGCGGGTGGGTTTGCGGGATGCTTGCACGAGCGTTGGAGATGGGCAGGGGCGGACGCCAGCAAGGTGATTTGCGCCGCGTAGATAGATTGGATTCGATACCTTGCACTCCATAGGTTGGACAGGGTCCCTGTTTGGGACGCAGGGGCTGGCAGCGCTGGGATTTACCAGCATCGTCAATACCAACAATATCACCACTGCCAGAACATCGGGCAAGCGGTCTCTCTCGTAGTATCGCACGTCTGTGAAGGTGCACTGCTGATGCGCAACCCATCGCCTGTGCTCGCGTTCTCTCTCTCTCTCTCTCTCTCGCTGCCTCTCTCTCTCTCTCTCTCTTCCGCTGTCCTCTTCCGCTGTCGCTCTGTCTCCCAGTTCCTTTCGAAAGAGAAAGGAAAACAGAGGGAGAGCGAGAGAGGGCCTCTCACCTTCCCTTCCTCAGCAAAGCCGAACTCAGGCAAGCAGGCACGGACTACTAGCGAATCAAAGCGACTGGGTGTTCGGGCTCTCGGTTCGCCCTAGACTTTATACTCACGTTTGCAGCGCGTGGGGCACCGAAATTCTCGACCCCAGCAGTCGCGTGCATGGCGTGCCGTGGGCCGTTCTCTGCGGGCCGCGGGCCCCCCGCGGCCCGATGCCAGCCAAGCTGGCCTCGCGCTGCATTTTCTTCTGCGCGCCAGAGCTCCGCAGGTGCTCAAGGGGTGGGGGGGCGCCACCGCCTCAAGGGACGCCCGCTCTGGCGCCTGCGCGCCCGCGAGTCGGCGCCGCTCGCCGCGGCGCTGCCCAGGGGCGCGGGCTCCCGCCTGGGCCTTCCCGTCCGCCGAGCCCCCGGCAGGCGCCACTCCGTTGGGAGCCGATGGCCTCGGGCCCCGGCCTGGGCCTGGGCGCTGTGCACCCGCTGGGGGTCCGTCGGGGAACGGCACAATGCACCGCCTCACGAGAGACTTCGCGGGCGGAAAGCGGCCCCGCGTCGTCGTCTTCCTGGCGTCGTCGGCGCCGTCGTCTTCGTCCTCGTCCTCGTCCTCGTCCTCGTCCTCGTCCTCGGCGGCGTCGTCGGCGTCGTCGTCGTCGCCGTCGTCGCTGTCGTCGTGGGCGTCGTCGGCGTCGGCGTCCTCGTCGCCGGCGGCGTCGGCGTTGGAGCGGATGTTGAAACAAATATCACTTCGTGCTCGGAAGGGGCTCGGGGCTTCAGGCCGCTTCCTCGGTGGAGGCCGGGGAGCCCCTTCTCGTGGCCGAGGCTCGCCGCGGCCAGAGGAGCCCTTTCCCTTTCCTCCTTCGGCATCCCTCGGGGTAGCACCTCGACTGCACACCGCCATGGGATTTGAATCACGCCGGCCCCGCGCTCGCAGGGCCACGAGTCTGGGCGAATTGCGCCGGGTCGCTCCTGGGGCTTCCAAGACCCTCCGTGACGTGTTCTGTTTCTTGCCGATCCAATCGAGGAGTCCAAGCTGGGGGTGCGCCATCCATTCTCGAGCGGGCACGCCCAGGATCCACGCCTTCTGTGCGCGTGCGCAAAACATGTGGTTGAGGATTCAAGCCGAAAGCCTCCAGACCCTTGTGATTTACGAGCAGAAGCGAGGGCCCCCGGACCCTACACAATTCATCCGGGGTTCGATGTGTGTGTGTGTGGGGGGGGGGGGGGGCGCACTTTCCTCGAGCGGGCACGCATCGTATTTCTGCCAGCCTCATTCAGTCATGGCAGCAGGGACACGTTACACAGCAAAACGAGAGGCCCGTACCCAGGCCCAGACGAGGGAAAAGCTGCCCCCCGGAGAAGGGTCAGCCGAGACCTCAGTGGGCCCGCGAACTGAAAGCAAGAGCGCGTCGTCGGAGGTCAGAGGATCCTGGACGGGCTCCAACTTGCGCACACGCAGCCCCCCCCCGCGGTACCCCTGGCCGGACTCAGCATGCCCCCATGGGGTGACTACAGTCAACGCTCATAACAAAAACGAGCAGTCTTCCAAGGCCCAAGGGTACCCTTGTATCCTTGCCTCTTCGGTCACCTTCGGTCCATCCTAAACCACTTTCGATGGCAAAGCCCCGCTGGAAAAGCGTCGGCATGGGCGCCAAGGGTCTTGCACCATCATTGCGCATCCTTACTATCAGTTTTGACGGTACTCCCGGCCGGACTCAGCAATCGCCGCCGTTCTTGCCGTTGACGGTTCTCCCGGCCGGACTCAGCAATCGCCGCCGTTCTTGCCGTCGGGGGAGGGGGAGGAGGGGGAGGAGGGGGAGGAGGAGGAGGGAGGAGGAGGAGGAGGAGGAGGAGGAGGAGGAGGAGAGGAGGGGGAGGAGGGGGAGAGGAGGAGGAGGAGAAAGCCCCCAAGGGGGAGGGGGAGGGGGAGGCCCCCATGGGGTGACCCGTGCGGGGCGGTGTCGGCACCCCCGCGCCGTCTCCAGCGGCGCTGGGGCCGCCTTCGCGCCGCGGGGCCCGGTGGGCCCGGATGCTCAGGCCGCCCTCGAGCTCAGGCCGGCACTGAGGCACCAACACGCGCCAGCCTCTGAAAGTAGGTATTTCTGGAAGTAGGTATTTCGGGCACTCCCAGATCCCAATCTGCTTCAAGTGCCTTCGCACTCCAAGGGCCGATATTCTGTGTTTCTGCTCTTCTGGCTGTTCCTCGAGCGGGTCAGAGGAACTCTATCTAATGTGTCTGCCTTCCTACTTCATGCTTCCACCTGCTTCTTCCGATCGCCAGGTAAGGTATGAATTCATGCAGCCCCCAGTCCGTGCGCAACCCCAGCCCTTGCAGACTTCTACTCTGTCGGCCCACCCCGTGCCAGGGATATCTGTGATCAGTCAAGGGAGGACAGACCACCCCGACCCCGATGATCGACGGTTACTAAACGGCCCTGGGCGTCTACCAAAAGGCCCTGACATGCTCGATCCTTTCCCTGGGGAGCGTGTACTGAGCAGCTTCGCTTGTCGGGATGCGTATTAGGGGGGCCGATGTTCTGCTCTCTACAGTGGGGGCCTATGCCAAGAAACACCCTGCTTGCCTCTAGGGTGCCGTGGGTTTCGAGGGCTTTGCGATGGAAAGCGCGACGTTCCCACACCAAAAATCAATGGACGTCCTGGGGTCTCAGGGTTGGGTTTCTCGTGGAAGGTTTCTTGTAGGCTGGCCCCCACTGTAATTCGTGCCCTACCCGACCGGACCTGGCGGCATGTGCACGGAGCCTAGGCCAGGCATTGGGCTTGGCCGCCCGTGCGCGCGAGCTTCTCTTCTCGCGGCGTGGGCCGCCGAGCTCTCGAGCCGCTCTCTCGGGGGCCGGCTCCCCCAGGGAGGGGAGGGGGTTCTTTGATAGTTTTGAGTCGGGCATGTCCCTCTACAGGTGGGATGTTCAAAAGTAGTTTAGAATAACTCGTCTGGGGACGATGTTTTGAGTATGTTTGACTATTTCAGAGTACGTTTTAACTATCTATTGTTTTTCGCCCAAAATCCGCCTTTAGGGGGACATGCCCGACCGAATGATAGCTACGAAGTGCCGAATGCAGCCCCAGTACGCCCGAGTCGCGACAAAACGTGCGGCCTCAGAGGAAGAACAGGTTCCCATACCGCTGCCCTTCTCCCGTTATTCCCCCTTGTGGGGCCTTCTAGGAGGCCCTCGTCGCCACCGCTGGATTCGCCTCGAACATCTAGCTGCCAGGGAGCCGCGGTATCGGTACTTCGTGGTTTCCCCACGGCCGTCATGACATGTGGCCAGGGTCGGCGTAGGACATCGGGTGGGCACCTCCGGGCAGTGCCCAGGTCAGGGATGGTCGCCACCCTCTCCTAGGGAGGAGGGGGGGGGGGCCTCCCGTGCCCCACCCCCACTTACCCCAATCCACCCGACCGCGACCGCCGCAAATTCTGTTCAAACCTTCCTCGGTCCTCGGTCCCACACTTCTCGGTCCTCCAGGGCGGGAGGGGGAGGAGGCGACCCCACCACCCCCGCTTGGCACCGGCCGACTCTCTCTGGCGCCCTCCCAGGTGTACCCGCTGGGGAACTCTCTGCTGGACCCGGACGCAGGCTGGGGCTCGCCCCCGCGGGAGGAAAGAGGAGGAGGAGGAGGACGAGGAGGAGGAGAAGGAGGAGAAGGAGGAGGAGGAGGGGGAGAGGGAGGGGGAGGGGGAGGGGTGGGGAGGGGAGGGGGAGGCGGAGGAGGAGGAGGGAGGAGGAGGAGGGAGGAGGAGGAGGAGGAGGACGACGACGACCAGTCGACCAGTCGCCACCTCGAGCCTCGATATCTCGGACGCTGGAGCCTCGTCCAGCCGAGCGCAGTTCCAAATTCAGTCCTGGACGTGCTACGGGGACCATCAGCTCAGACACCTCGGGCAGGCCCCGCGGCGGATGATTTGGACACCGCCTTGAGGTACGAACGAAGGAGGAGGAGGAGGAGGAGGAGAAGGAAAAGGAGGGTTCGGAGGAGGAGGAGGAGGAGGAGGAGGAGGACCAGTCGTCATTTCCTCCCCAGCAGGGAGTTAGTCGAGGCGACCACGATGGGCTTCACGGCCCTACATCTCGTCGGGGGAAGGCGGGCATTGCCCGCCGCGGGATGTCCGCAGATTTTGCCGTTTTCAAATTAAAGTGCTCATTCTGATGATCGGGCTGCGCACTCCCTCGTCCCTCCCCGCATGGAGGCTCGAGATGGTGGGTGGCGAAACGGAGAGAGCATTCGGGAGGAGAATTAGTTGGACGGCGGCAGGCAGCAGGTACATGACAGCAGAGGTAGGAGACGCCAGAGTGCCAGCACGTTGGCACGGGGAGAGGGGGCACAGCGGTATCTACCCTGTCCTCGCGACCACCGGGCCGTTGCCGTCTATGTCGCAAATCGCAAGAGACCTGTTTTGATGAGGACTACGGCACCGTTCTTTACAGCGGAATTGCGGGATCATTATTCCAATAAGTTTCGCGTCAACTGCACAAGTTGGTATCAGGTCGCCAACGGAGACGACACGATGGCTGATCGAGACGATTTGATGAAATTCTTCGCCACGGAATGCTGCAAGCAGGGTGAGCAGAACTCGTACAGCAACGAGTAGCGTTGGGACGAGACCGACCAGCAGTGGGACGAGACCGACAACACTTCGGGAGGGCAAGCACCAGCAGCTTAAGGAGGCGAATCGCCAGTCCGTCGAAGGACGCTTCCACATGTAGCAGGAGTGCGGGCAGGAACACGCAGAGTTAAGGATGGAGGGGACGGTGGCCGTGAGATTTCGTTCATTCACGGCGGAATGCACAGCCCACGGGCAACAACACTGGCAACAAGTATTCGAGGAAGGCTTGGACTGCGATTGCGACATATTGCAGGACGTGGTCCTGAGGTTCGCCGCTACAGGGGTCCTTCACTTTGTCTACGCGGACGAGCATGTGAACTCACACCAGCGCGGGCTGCAGTGGTGCATTCCGCTCGTCCGCGCTCAGCTCCTCCAGCCGTCGTTTGACCGCATCTTCGAGGGAGTGGACGACGACGAGCACCCCAGGTTCCTTCAACTGCTTACCGAGGACGTGTGCGCGGACGTTGTCCACTTGGGGGGACAAGCGGGCCGCCTCGGTCGACGTTATCTCTGCCCTGCCCCACGAGGCGCACGAGCGACATCGACCTCTACGCGCGCGAGCGACACCGACCTCTGCAACGCGATTCGTATGAGCGTCGTCGTGGGCGGCGTCCTCGCATCGTGCTCGCACCGTGGCGACGAGGGACAGAGGATTCTGTCTCCGCACCGATGGACCCCCCTATGGGTGGCCCAAGGAGATTCCGACTCTGCGCCCCTCACCGCCGTTGCTTGGGCATGCCGCCCGTGACTGGAAACGAGGTGCGGGTCATGGATACGCCCTGAAGGACGAGGGCAGGTATGACCCCGAGTTGAAGAGCAGGTACAATGGGACGGTGCCCAGGCGAAAGGCGGCCCCCGTGCTGATGGGCTGCCCCCACACCCAGTTAGTCCAGGGCGCAGCACACCAGAATGCGAGCGACAATTTGGGCGACCAGGTAGAGGCCCAAGCAGCGAAGAGCACCACCCACGCGCTCACTGAGGCGCTGGGGGAGGTCCCCTTCCTGACGGTAGAGATCTCCAAGTCCGCCAGGGTGATGAGGGTGAGAGTCGACAAGGGGCGACAAGGTGAGGCATGGTATACGCTAAGATCATGAGGACTATATACCGATGGAGGGCACCCCGAGGGAGGACAGAGGATGGTTCAAAAGCATCGGGATCTCATGCACGAGTTTGTTGCGCCTCCGGTGCGAGCGCACAGGGATCGGAGGATGATCGGAGGGGCTCCAGGAAGACCCCAGCAAGGTTCAGGATATGCTCATCGCAGCGCAAGACGTTCACAACGTTATCAGAGGATGCTGGACCACGTGGGCGGTATCAGCAGCCAGGGCCAGCCGCCGCGAGGGTGCCGGATCGTGGGACACACCGATCTCGCCACGAAGCCGAAGCAGCAGAAGCGACAGCTGCGGCAGAGGCTCGCGGCAGTCGCGGAGAGGGCCATGCGCCCCCTCTCGCCGCGCCCGCGCCCGTGCCCAGGCTCTGAGCCAGCAGTTGCAGCGCATCGCTGCGGTCCCACTCCCAGAGAAGACTACGCGATGGCGCCCGCGCCGTCCCCTCTCGGGGGGGCCCCCTCCTCTTGATGCCGTGGGCCTGCGTGCTGCGGGGGTCTTCGCCCGTGCCCCCATGCGGCGGGCGGCCCCCTGGAGCCCACACGGGGTCGCTTCCTGCACCCGAGGGGCGGTGGGGTCGCGCAGCCAGCAGCGCCCATGGGATCACGGTCTCCCTGGCTGCCGCGGCATCCGTCGGTCGGAGCGGTTGCGCCACAGGCCGGCCGCGCCGCGCGGCGCCTCGTCGATCCCGACGGCATAGAGGCAGAGCACGAATCGGTTGCTGCAGACGGGGCGTGTGTAGTCGCATGAGGATGCCGTGCTTGAGCACGGCCCTGAGATCTAACGTTGCGGACAAAACACAACACATCGACATCACGACCAGGGCCTTAGATCCCATTTTCTTGCGCTATCTTTCGAGCTGGATCGATCTGTGCGGATCCCGGGGCCCGAAGCATGGCGAAAACGCCTGGCGCGAGAAAACTGCAACGCCAGGACTTCAGGGGGCGATGACGACGACGACGACGACGACGACGACGACGACGACGACGACGACGACGACGACGAACACACGGACGCTACCCCGTGCGCCAGACGCCCCAGCGAGCCGCTGCCACGATCCCGCCGACAGAGCAAGCCGCTGCCGCTATTCGCCGCCGCCGATGGCTGCCGCCAACGGCCCTTTATTTTCCTGTTTCGTTTTCCTTCTTCTCCTCCCTAGCCTCCTCTTCCTCCTCCTCCTCCTCCTCTTCCTCTTCCTCTCCCTCCTCCTCCTCCTCTTTTCCTCCTCTTCCGCCTTATCCTCTTCCCCCTCCTCCAACTCCTCGTCCTCCTCCTCCTCCTCCTCTTTATCTTTCTCCCCCTCCGCCTCCTTCCTCCTCCTCCTCCTCCTCTTCCTTCTCCTCCTCCATTCCTTTGTCGTATAGATAGTTCTTCCCTGGGGCACCCCGAGGCCGGTCGAAAGAGCGGGCCCGGCGTTTTGCTCGAGATGTCCCCACCACTTGTGACCCTGACGTTTCAATATTGACAACAGTTTCACAGATGGAGGGCGGGCGGTTTTGAAAATTTGGCTCTCGCCTTAGCGCCGCGCGCATTCGCTTAAAACATCAGCAACAGCTTCACGGATTGAGAGCGGGTGGTTTTCAAATTGTGGTTCTCGACGTATCGCCGCGCACATTATTTCCAAACATTTTGAAGAGCTTCACGGATTGAGGGCGGGTCGTTTTCGAAATGTGGTTTTCGCGCGAGCGTCGCGCACAATCGTTTTCAAAATTTGCAAGAGTTTCACGGATTATGGGCGTCGGCTTTCAACATGTGGCTCTAGCGTTAGCGGCGCGCATATTCATTAAACATGTTTGCAAGATTTGTACGGACTGAGGAAGGGTTGTTTTCAAAAATGCGGCTCTCGCGTTAGCGGCGCGCACACTGGTTCTAAACATGTGCAAGCAAGAACTTCACGGATTGAGGGCGGGCCGTTTTCAAAATGTGGCCTCGCTTGGGCGCCGCGCACATTCGCCGTGACAAACGGCAAGAGCTTCTCGGATTGAGGGCGGGCCGTTTTCAAAGTGTGGTTCTCGCCTTGGCGCCGCGCACATTCCATTCGTATTACAAATGTGCACGAGCTTCACGGTGAGGGCGGACCGTTTTAAAAATGTGGCTCTTTCGTGTGCGGCACGCGTATTCGTATTACAAATGTGCAAGAGTTTCGTGTGTTCTCATGTCTAATTTACCAACAACGGTGTTTCGTAAAGATTCAGGAGTGGCAGGGCGCAAAAGTTTCGTTCATTCGCGGTGTTAACTGACACCCCAGGAACGATGTTCTGGCACGGTTCAGGATCGCCAAGACGTAACAGTTAGGTTCGTTCGTGGCGTTGGAAGTCCTCAGAACGGTGTTTTGGCGCGCTTCCAGATGTTCGCGGTTGACCGCCAACGGGGCAAATCCTTCAGTGGAAATGACCCCCTGTAGGGGCCCGTGAAGAGGGATCTTGGAGGGAGGGTGTAGTACAACATCGTTGGTGCGTCTTGGGTTTACACTGGTCCTCCTCCTCCTCCTCCTCCTCCTGCTCCCTCTCCTCTTCATCCCTCTCCTCCTCCTCCGCCTCGTTCGGCAGGCAGACTCCCGACGTCGTGACTTGTTGCAGACTCCTGACGCCGTGATTTTGTTGGGCAGCGTGGATCCCCAGAGGTCTCGACCCGTTCCCCTGGACGGGCTCTTCATCTCGAGTCGTTTTTGGGCGGCCTTTGGGCTTGGCAAGGGCTCCGGAGGCCAAAACTGATTGAAAACAGCCCGTCGTTTTTTTGGCACTGACTCGAGGGCGTTAGGCGGGAGACTTCCCCCCAGACATCCATGCGCGGCCCCGCAGGTCCCGACCCCTTCCGTGGGGTCCGCGTCTCGCCCTGGATCCGTTTTCGATGGACCCGCGTGGAGCCCGCTGCCGGGCTCCAGGGGCCGGGATTGGGGAGAAACGCCCGGTTCGGAGCAATCATGCCGTCGGAGGTCTGGGCCCGCCTCCTCCTCCTCCTCCTCCTCTTCTTCCTCCTCCTCCTCCTCCTTCTCTTCTCCTCCTCCTCCTGCTTTCTAGCGTTAGACCGACCTTAGCTGCGAGCTGTGGCTCCTCCGCCTCCTCCTTCTCCTCCTCCTCCTCTTCCTCACCCTCCGCCTCCTCTTCCCCCTCCCCCTCCTCCTTCTCCTCCTCCTTCTCCTCCTCTTCCTCCTCCTCCTTTTCCTCCTCCTCCTCCTCCTCCTCATCCTCCTCATCCTCCTTCTCCTCACCCTCAGCCTCCTCTTCCCCCTCCCCCTTCTCCTCCTCCTCCTCCTCCTCCTCCTCCTGCTCCTCCTCTTCATTCTCCTTCGCCGCCTCCTCCTCCTCCAGGCTCCGTGTATCCCCTGCTCCACAGCCCAGCTTGCACCCACTGCTGTATTGTACGATCTCTTTTGTGTGTGCTATACGTGTCGTTCCTACACTTCAACCCGCATAATAAGGATTGAACCGCTTTCCAAGGATACCCTTGCATCCTTGCCCCTTCAGCCCATCCTCAGCGACTTCTGTTGGCCATCCTCGTTCGAGAAAAGTCAACATGGCCTTCCAAGGGCCTTGCATGCTGTACCGTCTGCGGCGAGGCCTGACAGGCCAAATCCCCAAGCGTGCTGCCGCCCGCTCGGCGCATCTCATATGGCGGCACACGGTACACACGGTACACGCCAGTCGTCGGAAGCAGGTATCCTTGGATTGCCAGATCCCAGTCTATTTCAAGCGCTTGCTTGCTTCAAGGGCCGATGTGCTCCTGCTGTGTTTTGCTATCCTCTGGCAGGACCTGGATCCAATCTACCTGGTCCGCCTTCCACCTTGGTGTTTTCACCTGCTTCTTCTGGCCGACGTGTAGCCTTGCCTCTCTGCCGCGGGAGCAGGGATGACATTCTTCGTCCTCTGTCGTGCTCTTGGCCGAGTCGTCCCCGTCTCTTTGGGCCACGCAGGGCGCTTCAAGAAAGGGCCTCGCCTTCGAGGGCCGAAGGAGCTGCCACCCCTTCCTTCCTCGGGCGGCGGAAGTAAAGCGAGGGTCTAGCCTGCCCCGGCTCTGGGCAGGGCAAGGATGGGCATGCCGGGCCGATAGGGACTGGGGGGAAGAGAGCCCGCGCGCCGCCGCCACGCGAGCGGCGCGCGGCAAAGACCGGCGCAGGCTCGGCGGAGGGCGGCGGAAGTAAACGGTGCGCCTCCGAGAGGTGCCATTTTGTTGGGGGGCTCACGTGTTCTGGAGTCGTTTGATCTTCGCCGTCGCTGCGCCCTGGCACCGCCCGCGGGTGCGCCCCGGCCCCGGCTGCTGCTGCGGTCCCCGCTGCCCTGGCTGGCCGCTCCGGCCCGCTCACCGCGGAAGTCTTCCGCGTCTGAGCGCCTTGCCCCTCAACCCTTCGCGCGGCCGCCCTCGTCTTCGCCTCTCTCTCGTTTTTTGTTGTTCTCTCTCTCTCTCTCTTTTTCTCTCGCTCTCTCTCTCTCTCTTTTTTTTTCTCTCTCTCTCTCTCTATCTCTCTCTCTCTCTCTCTCTATATATATATTGCGCACCCGACAGCAGTTTGCCGATCGGCTACCCCAAATCGCCACCCGCTGGAGCGGACTGCCTCTGCTCCAGGCCTCGTAGATGGGGTCAGAGTAGATGGGGTCGGAGGATCGCGCCGCATCGCCGATGCATCGGCGGTGCGGCTCTCTGAGGGGCCCGATTTCCTCCACGCCGGCGTCGCCGATGCATCGCCGACGTCGCCGATACATCACCGATGCGTCGCCGATGCATCGGCGATGTAGTGGCGACGCGGTGCGATCCGTCGACCCCACCTACTCCGCCCCCCTCTAGGAGGCCTCTGTCTGTCTCGCCGCCGGCGGAAACATGATTGTGCCCCGGCGTCGTTTCCCTGCGCTCCTCGACCCGGCGGTCGGCCCCACGAGGGGCGGCGGGCGCACACGTATATCGCAGGCCTAGACGTTGACAACACCAAGATCGGCGGTGTGCCTCCACCGAGGGAAGACGATCCCGATCTCGGCGATGGTGGTAATACTCTGGCTTCTGAGGTGGCCGAAACATGGCCACCAACACCGAAATCTAGGATCATTTCTCCCCTGTGGAGGCAACCCCCTGGGCTGGTGTTGGTGCGCCAATTTCCAGGCCTCCCAGTATAGAGATCCTACCGTGCCAGCGCCGTGGCGGAGGTTTCCCAGCCATGTATGCCGCTCGGGCGCGCGGCGGGCGACAGGACGGCTTCTCTATACCAGTTTTAAATCGGGCATGTCCCCCTACAGGGGGATTTTCGACGAAAAATAAAAAATACCCCCCCCAAAAAATAATCAGAAAATTGACAAACAATATTCTGGGCACTATTGTTTGAGTATTTGTTGACCTTTTTGGTGTATGTTTGGAATATGTATGATTTTTCATCGAAAATCCCCCTGTAGAGGGACACGCCCGCATTAATACCAGTTCTGGGCTCGGGCCCGCGGCGGGCGCCTCCCGCAGCAGCACGTCGTGCCAGCAGGTCCTGCTGCGCCTGCGGGGGGGGGGCGCGCGCGCCGCGTGTGGCCTCGCCGCGCCTCGCGGGCGGGCGAGCGGCCCTCGAGGGGGGAAACCCCCGAACCCGACTTGCACGGCGAAGACATGGCCTCACCAGGGTCTCGTTCTGCGCACTAGGGGTGATATCGTTGGGCGGTCTGGTCTGAGACACCTGCAGGACAAAAATGTGTCATCCCGCATGTTTCGGGCCCTTTCTACTTGGGGTCCCTCCCAAAGGGCTAGGGTTTCTTTTCCTTTTAGTCAACAGGGGGTTTGCTATCCCATGTGAGGGTCAGGCGGCGGGCGCCCCACCCGACACCCGCCAGTGTTCGGTTGCTGCACGATGGGCCCTCAGACTGTACTGGGGGCGCGCATCTGGCGCGCACCTACAACATACAGGGAGGTGTGTCATACATGGTTTGCGCGCGCACGAAAGATGATACTTGCCCAGTCTACGAGCATTGTTACTACTATTATGATGTATTCCCGCGCGCGCGCGGGGGCCTCGTCCTCCTTCTCCGCGACCATGCTTTCGCGGAGCGCTTGCGCGATGAACAATCCTTACTAGCTTAGCTGCCTCGACACGACCGTCTTGGAACGCAACACGCCGCGTACTCAAATCGTTTGTTTCAACACGCTGCGTGTTGGCTCCACGTGTTGGCCCACGCTTTGGCGAACGTATCGCGCCAGACCAACGCTTTCAGCCTACGTGCTGAGCTCCGTGTTAACACGCTACGTGTCATGCAATGCGTGTCGGCGCAGCTGAGCTTACCAGTGTCTGCTCCACTCGGCGTCGCGTGAGCGACGCCAAACAACGGGGTCGTCCTCGCCGACATTCGCGCGCCAGCTGCCCGCGTGAGGTCGCGCGCGTCAGCGCCCTCGTCTTCCGTGTGGCGTGCCGCGTTGGTGGCCCGCGTGAGCCGCGGCGTGAGGTCGGCAGGTCATCTCGCGTGAGACCCGCGTCTGATCGTCGCCCTCCTGTCCTGCCGCGCCCTCAGGCCGCCGCCGCCGCCAGGGCCTGGGCCGCCTCGGCCGCCTCGGCGACGAGCTGCTGCTGGGCGTGCTGCGCGCGCTGCCGGCCGACGCGTGCGCGCGGGCGTCGGGCGCGTCCGCCACGCTCCGTGCCTTCGCGGGCCATGAGGACGTCGTCGTCGTCGTCGTCGCGCTCGTTGCTATTTTCTGGAATGGCTCTACCTGGATCCGCGCGGGCCACGAGGACGTCGTCGTCGTCGGTCGAGTCGGGTGTCGATTCCAGAATCGATATACCCCAAAATTAATTGTCCGCCGAACCTACGAAACATGCGTAGAACGCTCCGTAGGTCTACTGACTACTCTGCGTCGTTTCTCATGGGCTCGACGAGAATCACTTTTGGGGTAAATCAAGAATGTAGTCGATCCCCTACTGGAGTCGTCGTCGTCGTCATTGTCGTCGGCATTGTCGCCGCTCTCGTGATTATCTTCTCTTCGAGCTGTTCTTTTGGTCGGCGTTCTCTTCTCGTCGTCGTCGCCATTCTGACTGTCGCCTCCGTCGTCTTTGTCTTCGTGTGGTAGTAGTGGTCGTGTGGTCGTGGTGGTCGTCGTCGTGGTGGTCGTAGTGGCCGTCGTCGGAGGAGCAATTATCAGGGGCAACGCTAAGGGGGATCGGCTCAGCGAGGACGCATCGACCATCAATCGCCCACCATGGACCGCCGATAGGGGCCAAATAGCCCACCCCGCCTGGGTCGGCCATGCATCGCCGATTCCAGCTCGATGTTTCCTCCTCTGAGCCGGTCCCCCCCCCCCCATTACGTGGCCCCTCATCAAGGGAGGGAAAAAGATACCGAAACCGCTGCTCGTCCTGGAGAGCCCTCGTCGCCACGGCTGGATTCTTATCCAAATGCTAGCCAGAGCGCACCCCAGGAGAGGTCGGGGGAGTAGCTATATATCGGTAGTTGTTTGCCCCCCCAGAAACAGGGGAGTAGCTGTATATCGGTATTTGTTTGTCCCCCCAGAAACGGGGGTCCTATGGAGGGGAATGGGTTTTATGTCAGTCAGAGGAGGACAAGATACCGATACCGCTGCTCGTCCTAGAGAGCCCTCGTCGCCACGGCTGGACAAATCCTTCCCAACATTCTGGCCAGAACGCATCCTTGGAGAGGTCGGGGGAGCAGTTCGATGTCGGTGTTCTCAAAGTGGGGTTCTCGTTTTCTCTGCACACCCCCGCGCATGATCTCCTTCTCACCCTCTCCCTCACCATCATCATCATCATCATCATCATCATCATCATCATCATCATCATCATCATCATCATCATCATCATCATCATCATCATCCACATCATCACTCACACACTCACACTCACACACTCATCATCATCATCATCATCATCAGCAGCATCATCATCATCAGCAGCAGCATCAGCATCATCATCATCAGCAGCAACAGCATCATCATCATCATCATCACCATCATCATCATCATCATCATTAGCATCTTCGTCATATCCTCATCAGCATCATCATCAGCATCAGCATCGGCATCATCATCAGCATCAGTATCATCAGCATTTGCTTCATCATTATCATCAGCAGCAGCATCATCATCGGCATCGACATCGTCATCGCCATCATCAGTCATCATCACTATCAGGCTTGAATATGGAGGGGCATCAGGCGGGAGCCTCGTCCGTGAGTGAATTGCGAGGAAGTCTCAGGCGAGACCCTCGTCTGTGAGTGAGTTGCGAGGAAATCTCAAGCGGGAGCCTCCTTCCTATGGGGCCCGCAGCTCATGTTTTTAATCCGAGCGGGTCATCCTCAAACCTGCAACTGTCATCATTGTTGGGCTCCACAGGCCTGAATATGGAGGGAGTATCAGGCGGGAGCCTCCTGCGAGGAAGTCTCCGGCGGGAATCTTGTTTGGGAGTGACTTGCGAGGAAGTCTCAGGCGGGAGTCTCCCCCCTATGGGGCCCGCAGCTCATGTTTTGAATCCGAGCGGGTCGTTCTCAAACTTGTAATGGTCGTCATTGTTGGGCTCCACAAGCTTGATTTTGGAGGGCGTATCAGGCGGGAGCCTCATCTGTGAGTGAATTGCGAGGAAGTCTCAGGCGGGAGCCTCCTACATATGGGGCCCGCAGCTTATGTTTTGAATCCGAGCGGGCCATCCTCAACCATGCAATTGTCGCTTATCGTGGGCGACACAGGCTTGAATTTGGAGGGAGGATCAGACGGTAACCTCGTCTGTGAGTGAATTACGAGGAAGTCTCAGCTGGGAGCATCGTCTGAGATGCGAGGGAGTCTCAAGCGGGAGCCTCCTTCCTATGGGGCCCGCAACTCATGTTTTGTAATCCGAGCGGGTCATCCTCAAACCTGCAATTGTCATTATTGTTGGGCTCCTCAGTCTTGAATATGAAAGGAGTATCAGGTGGGAGCCTCGTCTGTGAGTGAGCTGCGAGGAAGTCTCAGGGAGGAGCCTCGTCTATGAGTGAATTGCGAGAAAGTCTCAGGCTGGAGTCTCGTCTGGGAGTGAATTGCGAGGAAGTCTCAGGCGGGAGCTCCCTCCCTCAGGTCGCACAGGGTTTCACAGGTCCAGTACAGGTCGCACAGGTCGCACATATCCCACAAGCCCAACGCAGGCCCCGCAGGTCGCAAAGGTCCTATGGTGTTCTCGCCTCGCGCGCAAGTCCTACAAGTAGTGCAGGCCCCACAAGTCCTCTAAATACCAAGGGGCCCACGGGTCCCACTGGGCCCGGAGATCCCACAGGTCCCACAGGCCCCGCAGGTCCCACGGGCCCCGCAGGTTGCAGGTCCCGCGGGCTCCATAGGTCTCACGGGTCCAGCAGGCTCCACAAATTCCGAGGGGGGTCCACTGGTCCCACATGTCCGTCTCACGGGCCCCGCAGGTCCCACAAGGTCCCACACGGCTTGCAAGTCCCACAAGTCTCACAGGTCCCACAGGGCTCGCAACTCCTACAGGTCCTACATGCCCCACAGGCCCCACTGGTCCAACAAGCCCCACAGGTCGCACAGCTCGCACGAGTCCCACAGGTCCCAGAGGTCGCATTCTGGTATCATGGCAGCCTGCCATCATCACCATCGTTAATCGTCGATGATGAGGATTCTCATGCACACTACGGAGATCATCATGCGGGGTCCGTCCGTCGGAGTAATGGTTCCCCCCAGAGAGGGGGCCTATTGAGGGGAACGGGTCATATACCCAGATCTCTGGCGGTGTGACTTTTTCATCGATCTTGGCGTTTTTGTTCGTCGATATCTCGGCCCGACGGGACCAGTCTCGGACCCCCTTGGGGCCAGCAAAAGTGGAGCCGAGGGGGACATGATCCCCGGGGTGAAGGGGTCGGGAAAAGCAAATCAGCGGATGCCAGGGTGCCCGGAGGTCCTGGCGCTGCAATTCTGACTCATGCGGCGTCTTCGCCCGGCGTCGGGCCTCGGGACCCGCACAGATCGACCCGGCCCGGAAAACGACGCAGAGAGACGGGGCCCAGGGCTCGAGCCGTGATCTTTCGCGATGCTGCAGCTCGTTCGTCGGATCTCGGGGTGCGGAGGTTTGGGGCCGTTGCTGTCGAGCTCCTGGGCCCTCCACGGCCCAAAGGGCCGCCAACAAGACTGCCGTGTGTGGTGAGAGAGCGGTTCCACGAAGCCCCGTTTCCCTCTGGAGCCGTGTCCCAAGGGCTCGCAGAGGGGAGTCTGAGGCCTCAGATGGGGGGAGCAGGGCACGACTCACCCTGAGATCCTGGCGTCTCGAAAACATCGATGCGGAGGTTCATCGTGTTCGGCCTCTCGGGGCCCATACGGGCCTCGGGACCGCCGAAAAACGACTCGGGATGAGAAACTGGGCCCGGGAGGTGGTCGAGAGGTCGGGGGCCCGTGTCTCGATGAAATCGAGGCGCCGGATGTCTGGGCAGGAGGCGAAAGATCGGCCACGTGCAGATGGGGTTGGGGGGAGGGGGGAAGGCTTCTTGGAAGAACCCCTGCTTCTCAGAAGGCGCGGGCCCTATCCGTAGATGCAGGGCCGGCGCCCTCTAAGAAGCCTTCCAAGAGGTGCTCCACGGAGTGGTATCCCCCGATGACATCGGGGGCCCACCCACAGAAGCTTCGGAGTATCTTAGCACCCGCGTAGCAACGTTTGCTGTTGTATGTGCCTACTGGATCCCCGAGATCCGACGTTACGAAAAAATGCAACATCGCAATTAATCACGACCGAAGCCCTCGACCCCATCTTTCTGCACCACTCTTCAGAAGCCAGGCGACGGCTGGCAAACCCGTGGCTGCTAAAACGGAGCTCCGGGTAATTGTTTGTTTTTCTTCCGGGAAGCAGCTCGTTTACTATTTAGCGCGATGAGTTTTATTCCGGGATTGTTTTCTTCTGGGAAGACCGCTTTAGCAGCCACGGATTTGCCAGCCCTTGCCCAGCTTCTGAACTCTTCGAGCCAATCGATCTGTGATGGCACGAGGGCTCGATATACCTGACGAGAATCGCCCGGCGTGAAAGCAGTGCCACGCCCAGATATCTCGGGGATGTCGTTCTCTGCTCTCCCAGCCCAGACATGCGATACCCTGACTTGTTCGATACGCGGTCCCGAGAAGTCCCAAGCCTTTCCTTGGGGCTGGCTCGTTTCATCCTGACTCGTTCTTGGACGGCCCTTGGGTCCGAGAAGGGCCCACCAGAAGCCGAACACGAAGCAAATCCGTCCATCGTGATTTGTGTCACGACGCGAGCATGTCTCGCTCCACGCTCTCCCTCAGCCACGCGTAGAAAGGGGGTAGGAGGAGGGGGGAAGGCTTCTTAGAAGCAGCCCCTTCTTAGAAGGCGCTGGCCCTCTCTGTAGATGCAGGGCCGGCGCCCTCTGAGAAGCAGCCTCCTTCTGAGAAGCCTCCCCCCTCCCACTAGACTCGACACTTGTGCGCGCCGCCAAGTAAGGAGCGAGCCCAGCCGGAGGCTGGTATATTTCCATACTTCCAGGTGCCGTCCAGAGCGATGTTCCTCTGACCCCACCGTTGGCCATGCCCCACCTTTGCATCCCCACAAGCTTCCTTCACGCCAGGATTCGAATCAGAGAAATTGTCGAAGGTCAGCGCGGATTTTCTTAGATCGGCGCTGAAGCAGGCTCCTTCGAAGAAGCCTTCCCCGCTCCCTCACACCACACACCCCTGTGCGCGCCGCCGAATTCAGGAGCGAAAGGAGAACGTACACGTACATCCACGTTGATTTCAAAAGTATTGATTGCGCGAACGTGCTGGTTTGGGCGCCGTATTTATGTACGTGGTTGGGCGCGTACGTCGTACATCCTCTGTGGGCTCCCTAGCTATCTGACGGGTTCCAGAAATCACTTCGCCTTCGTTGATCGAAGGTTGGAGCGGGCTTGGTGTCTGAGGCGGCCCAGCATAGGTTCCAGGCAGCAAGAGGGAGGGGAAGCGCTCCGAGGCTCTGGGCTCGAGAAGGTGGTGTGTCTATTTCTGCCTCTGGGGGCCGCTCTCGGGACCCGGGACCGTCAAAAACGGGGACGGGGTGAAAAAATTGCACCAGAGGCAGGGGTCCGAGGACCGGCTCTGAGGGGATTTGGCCTCAAAACCTTCCTCTCGGCCGATTTCCGGGGGCCCCACCCAGTTCAGAGCCCCCGGCCGCCTCCAAATCGAAGGAGCTGGCATCTCTTCTCGGCTGCGAGCGAGGGGGGGGGGGAGTGCGAAGGAGGAGGCCTTCTCAGGAGGCGGCGGCGGGAGGGCGGCGGGAGAGCCCGCATGAGTGGAGCGAGGCCGCCTCCACGGGCGGAGCCCCCACGGAATTCAGAGATACGCCCCGCCAAGCGATGTCGACGGCACGTGTCGAGGGACCCTCCTGTGGAGTGACTCTTTTGAGCGCCACATTGTATGCCCGTGGTTTGGGCGCCGTATCTGCGCGCGCGCCGCCGACGCTCCCAGCGGAGGAGCTCTGGCGGGCCCTCTGCCTGCGCGAGCTGGCGCGCGGCGGCCGCCTGCACTGGCCGCGCGCCTGCGGCACGTGGCGGGGCGCCTTTGCGGCCAGCTGGGGCGGCGGTCCGCGGGAGCCGCGCGCCGCGGCCGCGCGCGGGGAGGCCCAGGGGGAGGGGAGGGCACTGCGCTCAAGTCGGGCATGTCCCTCTACAGGGGTAATGTTCAAGAAATACTCAAAAAATAGTCTGGGGACGATGCTTCTACTATATCTGGTTCTGTTTGAGCACGTGTTGGCTCTTTATTTTTCTCACATAATCTGCCTGCAGGAGGACATGCCCGACCTAACACTGCGGTCGGGGGCCGAGGTACAAGATCGAGGTCAGCTCGGGGGGGTACCCTAATGTTCTTCGTGTTTGTTGGATGTTCCTCAGAGGAGGAAGAGGTACCCACACCTCTACGCTTCCCTCGCTTTGCTTTTTTGGGGCCTCCTGGGCGGCCCTCGTCGCCACCGCTGGATTCGCCTCGAAATCCTCGTCAGAACGCGCCCCGGGAGAGGTCCAGGGAGTAGCGGTATCGGTAACATTCCGTTCCCCCAGGTCTCGCGCATCTTGGAAAGGGAACCTTCGGATGTTCTGTGTGCTCTGACCGGCGGAGTGTCCCGCGCTCTGGAAGGATGTCTTTCTGTCCTGGGTCCAGCTGTCTTCACCCTGAGATCCTGGCGTCTCGAAAAAATCGAGGTGTAAGTTTTTCATCGAGTTCGGCCTCTCTGGGCAGAGAGATTGGGTCTAGGGCTCCGGTCATGATCTTTCGCAATGTTTCAGTTTGTTCGCCACGTCGGAACTCAGGGTGTGGAGATTTGGGGCCGTTGTTGTCGAGCTCCTGGGCCCTCCACGGGCCAAAGGGCCGCCAACAGGATTGCCATGTGTGGTGAGAGCGATTCACGGGGATGGGCCCCCCGGGGGTCCACAAAACCTTCTCTCCCTCTGGAGCCGTGTCCCGAGGCTCGCAGAGGGGAGTCTGAAGCTTCAGACTTGGGGAGGAGGGCATTACTCACCCTGAGATCCTGGCGTCTCAAGGAGGTCGAGGCGGAGGTTCATCGTGTTCGGCCAATCAGGGCCCCTCTACCCAGCATTGGAACGGTCACTACTACTACCACCACCACCACCACCACCACCACCACTACTACTACTACTACTACTACTACTACTACTACTACTACTACTACTACTACTATTACTACTACTACTACTACTACTTCTACCACTACTACTTCTACTACTACTACTACTACTACTACCACTACTACTTCTACTCCTACTCCTACTCCTACTCCTACTCCTACTCCTACTACTACTACTACTACTACTACTACTACTACTATTACTACTACTACTACTACTACTACTACTACTACTACTACTACTACTACGACTACGACTACGACGACGACAACGACGACAACGACGACGACGACGACAACGACGACGGCTACGACTACGACTACGATGGCTACTACTACTACTACTACTACTACTACTACTACTACTACTACTACTACTACTACTACTACTACTACTACTACTACTACTACTACTACTACTACCACTACTACTACGACTACGACGACTACTACTACTACTACTACTACTACGACTACGACTACGACTACGACTACGACGACTACTACTACTACTACTACTACTACTACTACTACTACTACTACTTACTACTACTACCAGTAGTATTACTACTGCTGCTGCTGCTGCTACTACAACAACAACAACTACTACTACTACTACTACCACTACTACTACTACTACTACTACTACTACTACTACCAACAACAACAACAGCAGCAACAACAACTACTACTACTACTACTACTACTACTACTACTACTACTAC